GGGGGCACTCAGGGCCATACAGCCACGGCTGGTACGGCTGCTGGTGTAATACGCCGGGTGTCTGGGGGAGCCGTTGGTGGCAACCGCCAGACCTCAGCAAGTGTTGGTAGTGTCCAGAGCGACGTGCCCGGTGCTGCTGGGGGTGTGCCAAGCCACGTGCCTGGTAGTACGGCCGGCACAGTGAGACCGACATCCGCCCACACGGCTGGTGCTAAAGACCATACTCAAGGCCACACCCACAGCAAGACCCATATTTCAGGGCATACTACCGGTCCTAAAAAAAGCCTTGCGGACAGTACCAGTGCTTCAAGATCAGTCCGGTCTTTGGAGTCGGGGGAGATACCCCCGTCAGGCCAGTCGGCTGTGGCGACCTCGCCCCAAACACTGCCGTTAAAGGACTCGCACGAGAACGGTCATAGTGTGCGGGGTAAAGCACCTACTACTGCGACTGTGCCACGGTCTACGCGTTCACTTGAATCTGGGGAACTATCTTCAACCACTACACATGCACACGTATCGTCTATAAAGTACACACACGCACACGCACACGGACGGGATGGGCGGGACAAGCACCACAGCGCCGACCAGACCCAACACTCACACAGCCACGGCGACGGGCGAGAGCGTACACGCGCACACGACACACACCGTCACCACAACGAACGGTCACATACACAAGACCCTACACGCACACAGAGCACAGGCGAGGCGGTGGCTGCGGCAAGGCACTCGACTCACTCGCACGCCCACCGCAGCAAGTCTCACGGGGGGCATCACCGCCACGGCCCCCACCCATATAACAGGACAGGTGCAGGGACAAGTACTGAACATCTGGCCAAACACCAGTCTACTACCAGGGCAAGGCTGTCCTCGCGGTCGCCCCCCAAAGGGCCGGACGTCCCCGCGGGAGCACTAGCTGTACGCACACACACGCGAGAGTCTAGTACATCCACAGCACCACCCACACCTCAAACCCTAAAACGCACACACACACACGAGGCTGGTACATCCACAGTATCACCCACACCACCACCACCCCCTCCTCCTCTCCCTGGGACAGCACCCCCCTCGCCTGAGGCTGCACCCCCTCCCCCACCCCCTCCCCCTGACTCGGCCCCACCCCCTCCCCCACTACCCGACAATGGGAATGGGCCGTCAGGACAACAGGCTACAGGGGGGCCTACTACCACACACGCACACACCCAACCAACTCACAGGATCATCAAGGCGGTGGTCAGACCTGCGCAGGCTATAAATAGACCACCCGTGCGGCAGGCGGTAGGTAACCACTGGCCCAATAAGGCAGGACATCCGACAAATGGGTCCAATCACATGGCCCCGCCCCCGCCCCCGCCTCTAGAACCACCACCCGCTACACCACCCGTACCCAAACCCAACCAAGCCCCAAACCCAAGCCCAGCGGAAGCACCCAGAAACCCCCTCAAACTGTCCTCGAATAGCACAATGAGGATCAAAAAACGAGATCCGGGGGCAAAAGGGGGCGCGACTGTGGTGACGCATATGCCGTTCAAGCCACGCCACCCAAGAGCCACCGGGTGTCTGAAGAACCCGCATCATTTAGGACTCGCCTCAGAATATAGGAAACTGGGTCTGGTCGGCAAGGGGACGTTTGGGTGAGTACCGTATATTTTATGCGTATAAATGTATATGTATATGTATATATATATGTATGTCTTTGTGTGTGTGTGTGTGTATATATATATGTTTGTATGTATGTTTCTGTATCTGTATTTGTGTCTTTGGTTGTGGTTATGGTTGTGGTTGTGTCCGTATAAATATATATATTTATATATGTATGATGTATATGTATATATATATATATATATATATATAGTGGTTGTTTCGGTTTATTGTATATGTGGACTGTGCAGTTGCATGTGTGGTTAAACTTGATATCATGTCCCATGAAATCTCTGCATTAAAACTTCTCTGCATCTTGCTGTTTTTTTTTGTGATTCTATTTATAGATTAGTTCATAGTCGTACATATACGTGTAAGCCATCACTGACCAGCCTCGTGTCCACTCGCTATCATAGTGAGGTCTGGAAATCAAAGGATTTGGACGACCCCAGCAAGTTCGTGGTGCTTAAAAAGATCTTGGAAGAGACTGAGGTGGAAGGGGTATGTATGCATATGTATAAATATCCATTTGTACATATGTATGTATAAAAACATACATTTGTATATATATGTGTATTTATAAATATATATTTATGTATATTTATATATATATATATATTTATATATATATATGTATATTTATATATTTATATATATATATATATATAGACAGATAGACAGATATATATGTGAGACGTGTGTGTCTATATATATATATATATAGGAACATGTACACGTACAAGTTCAAAACAACACGCTAGTTTTTGACTTAGCATCTCAATGGTTGTACGGAAGACTTTCACATTGCTGTTGTATTAGTTTGATCTGTTGTGGACAGCATTCTCAACGTGAACTGCCAGGATGATATATATATATTTATATATGTGTGTATGTGTATGTATAAATCTATACATATATCTATATATAAGGCATACTTGTTGAATCTCCACCTCATACCTCTGTTTCCGCTATAGTTCCCTATCACTGCCTTGCGGGAGATCATGCTCATGCAGAGACTGGAGCATAAGAACATACTGCACGCGAAACGTGTGGTCTACAATCCGCCAAAAGGTAAGTAAATCATATATATATATATATATATATATATGTATATATATATCTATAAATGTACGAGAGTATACTTTTGGCTGTACCGTGTATAGTATTTGTAGAAAATGGTCCACACGCCGCCAAACACATCCGATATAGCCTGGAGTATCCAAGTGTGTGTTTAGATGTACGTAGATGCACGTAGATATAGGTACGTATGTACTCAGCTTTCACCGTTCTAGTTACTGGAGTACCATTCCCAAGTTTGCCCAAACCCTAAACCCCTGAAACCCCACACACTACCCCCTTGTATGCACACGTGTCCGCCATCAATACTATTATACGTATTGGTTATGAACCACTCATATACGGACTATATACCATTCACATACGAAAACATACCTACCATGTATCAAATATGTACGAAAATATGTCATATAGCAATTACATGCCGAAACATACTAAAAAGTACCAAACATTGCACGTATCTCCAGAATATACCAATCATGTACCAAATATGTACAAAAATATTCCTATCACATAGCAATTATATGACGAAACGTACCAAACATACCATGCACGTATCACCAATATACCAAAACATACCAATTTTGTACCATATATATACGATAATATACCTATCAAGTAGCAATTATATGACGAAACATACCGAAACATTCCAAATCGTACCAAACATACCATGCACGTATCACCAATATACCAAAACATACCAATCTTGTACCAAATATATACGATAATATACCTATCACTTAGCAATTATATACTGAAACATACCAAAACGTACCAAATATACCAAAACGTATCACCAAAATATACCAAATCAAGTCCACCTTCTACATGGTGTCAAAACATACCAAAACATACCATCCACATACCAAAACGTACTGAAATATATCGAAACATACCATCCATATACCAAGACGTACTAAAATGTACCAAAATATACACCATCCACATACCCAACCCACACAGCTGGCAAAGACAAGTACGGCAATGAGCTCAAGTCCACCTTCTACATGGTATCGTCGTGGATGGACCATGACCTGGCGGGGCTACTCAACAGAGGCAAAGCGTTTTCCGTGGCGCAGATTAAGTGCTTGTTCAAACAGCTGCTGGTGGGGCTGGACTTCCTGCACGTTAGGAAGATACTGCATCGCGATATAAAGTGTACGTGCACGTATACATGAGAAGTACTTGTGGACTGTGCACATGTACATGTACACGTATACATGAGAAGTACTTGTGCGCTGTGGGGCGTTACATGTACATGTGTAATTGGCTGAGAAGGAGTGTTGCCTTTGTTTCTGTCTGTGTTATGATATGTGGTGATATTCATTCGGATATAGGCATATCTGCAAGTGTCTGGGTGTGAGTGTTAGTGTTTCCTATATCTGTCTGTTGCACCATCTGTGCTGTCAGGGACATGGGCGCACACGCACTATAAATGGCTAGGACTGAGGTGTAGTCTACCTACCCACCCATCCTATCCATATCATCTCACTGTGTTTGATCTTTGGTACACCACAGTACGATCATGCCCTTATATTTGTCCTCATCTCGCTAATGTGTCCAATATACAAATCAGGTGCCAATATACTTGTTAATTCGGCCGGACTGCTGAAGATAGCTGATTTTGGGCTCGCCAGGACGTTTGATGACAAACAGCTCAAGAATGGTAAGCATGCTTTCTCCTATTGCTGTCTCAATACAACCACAGGCACACTGATTTATACTATATATATATATATATATATACATATATATGTGTGTGTGTGTGTGTAAGTGTATATGTATATGTATATGTATGTATTTATATATGATTATATATATATATAATATATAATATACATATTACATGTTTGCAAGTAAAGGTGTATGGTATAGACGTCAGAACTCTTGGAGAGTGCGCTTCCGAGAATCCGGGCCTATATCTACGGGTGTACTTAAACGTAGCAGACACGGCCACAAGAGAACAGATCCCATGTTTTAGGGTTTTAGCTAAACCCTAAACCCCTAAAACCCTGGCACTGACCCCATTCACACCCCTTCTCGTAGGCCTAACCAACCGAGTGGTCACGCTATGGTACCGTCCGCCTGAACTGCTCCTGGGTGAGCGTATGTACGATACAAAGATAGACATGTGGGGTGCTGGGTGTGTGCTGGGAGAGATGGCCAATACCGCACCACTGATGAAAGGCAACTCGGAGATAGAGCAGCTAGACTGCATCTTCAAGCTGTGTGGCACCCCCAACGCAGACAACTGGGCCGTATGTTCCAATGTGCACATT